TACGAAGTGTTGCTAACTATACTTTACTAGATCACAAAAAAAATGTGGATATAAAATAAATATTTTTTAACCTCCTAGAAAGAGTCGAAAAACAGAAACAAAATTTACACAACCATATTGTTGGAATGAACGACGTTAGACTCCCCAAACAAATAAATTATGTACCGAATGACAGAATAGTTGAAAGACCAAAAACTCGATGGACGGCATTAACGTTGAAGAGGACAGAGCACGCCTTCAGGTCTAATCCTTGATGTTGAATAAAAAGTATGAGTAAATAAAAAGGAATATGGCCATATACTTGGGCTATTATTTCTTGGCATGTGAGGTTCTTCCCGATGGAATATCACGGCATTTCACGGCTTTCTCGGTCGTGCCGCCACATGTCGAATGATCACGAATGTATCGAGCACAGCTGGCGATCATGCGACATCTAGCGTCATGACCGAGAAAGACCGGAAATGCCGTGAGATATTCGAACGCGAAGAAAGGCCCTCGCGCGCCAAGAAATAAAAACCGAAGTATAATGTCCGTTCCATGCAAATTGACATTTGCCTCTTTATGAATTTTTAGAAGTTTTTTCACAATTGGTGCATGCCAAATAAAAACACAAATTTAAACATGATACAAATATTAAGTTCTGGGGTATGCAGAGAGAACTAAACAAGTCTTCAAAAATTTGAGAGCATCTAAACTTGCACTGAAATATCCTTACATTTTATTCATTAATGGTTCAGCCAAATACGAAAATACATGAAAGTTTTGATACTGTGTATTTTTGGGTTGCTGAAAATGGATACCCGATTTACCAACAAGAATTTTGCCTGGTAACACTTTTTGTACTCAAAATATGTAAATATACCAACATTAGAAATAATAATAATAATAACAATAATAACTAAAAAAACATCAGTTTTTCATTAAATGATAATTCTACATGAAATAAAAGATGATAAAATGACCTACATTTGGTGTCTTCATACTTTCTTCTCTCATCAACAGTTTATGGGCGAAATTTTTGGTTTATACGAATAAGAAAATTTGGTTCTATACGAAAAAAAACATGAAATAGTATTTTTTAATTTTTTGTTGCGTCATCTTAGACGCAACGTGTCGCAAGCCCGTTGAGGGCGATTAAGTGCACTTTTGGAGAATTCCTCCATTACTATTGCGCGGGAGTAATCCTCCATTAAGTAATATAGTCCGTCACGTCTCGTCCCAGTCGGTTGTCAAGAAGACTGCCAGATAGCATAGCCGCGTACGCGCCTCTCTTACACGCTACTGCATCACTACCCAGCGCCCAGAATTGGGAAGGAATTAGGACCGGGGTAAGGTTTAGTCTAATCCCTAGTAGTTTCACTAGGGTTGGACTAGCCCCTGTGGAGCATGCAAACTCGTTTTGTCATAAATTTCACATGACGTTTTACGAGGTTTATCTCAATAAAAAAAAGTATCAATTTTTCGTAAATGACCTGATATGAAACAAAAGAGGATAAAATTACTTACATTTTATCTTTTGTAGTTTTTCTAAGATCAATCGATTTGCTGTTTGTGCACAGTATATACCTTGATGTTTCTGAGAAAATAGCATTTCACTTACCTTCCCTCTGGCTTCATCTTATTGCCCAGATCCAGCTTTTAACTTGTCTTCCAGATCATTTTTAGAAACAACTGTCACACTGTCACATCTCTTTTTGCACTTGAGACACAAGTAAAAACATTTAATCCCTGCCTTCTTGCAGTCACTTCTTTGTCAGTGTGTGGAGCATTTGCAGCAAACAAATTTCAATAAAACTGGGAAGGTGGTAAAAATTTGTTGCTGAAGTTGCAAGGCAATTTTTTGTTCTATTCCATCTCCACTCATTTTTTTTGACATCTGACGATTGCTGAACCTGATGGCTGTCTCTTAATCTTATGGCACACACGGTCTATCTATTACATGACCTCGTTCTTCTTCCATCGACAAAGCTTCATAAAAATGTTTGAGAACACTGTCATACTCAGAACCTCTCAATTATTGTTCAGAGATGTCGCAGCTTCCAGTTTAAGTCAGTAGGCTTTAGGCAGACATCACAAGAATAATTTCAATCAAATTGTGTGCAGTGCAGCACACTGCAGGCCAGAGCATATAGTACAATTTACATCTGATACAACTTTTTAATATATAAATATTTTTCTTTTGTTGATAAACTTGTACTTCAATAAAATTTTGACTTTTCAATGTCAGTAAATGTGTTTGTGCCTGAAACACTCAATAGTTAGTTTGTGAAACAAGATTAGCTAAAATTAAATGAAACATCCGAGAGATCACAGCGTGTACTTGAATAATTTTTATTAGCACGTGTGCCGCAGGGTTAAGTTGTGTTGCTGTACTGCCACTGCTCATGATGGTAGTGCAGCAAAATTTACCTTGTAACTGAAAGTGGATTCAGCAGACATATCTCAACCGGTTGTGAAAAGACAAGTTCATTCCACTGTAGCTAAATAGTGAAGGCAATATTCTCTTGTGACAGCAATCATCTCCTCAATTGCATTGGATTTTTTTGATACTTCTTTAGCCTGCATGAATAGCATTTTTTAGTCAGTCAGAGCAACTTATTTCCCATACTAAATCAATGTTGAGGTGGTTATTGTATAAAAGAAGAGAAAGTTATCAGCAATTGTTTCAGCAGCAGGCAGGAAAATGTGGGCGAAGAAACCTTCTCTTCCTCAGGTTTCAAAAATTACATATTTTCATGCTTGCAGAGCTATCAACATTTCCAACAGATCTACATCCTTACTAACTACAAATGCTGTCTTATTTATTGGCTCCAAGGACAAAGCTGTGTTCACTACCACAGTGTCTGTGTTTCCTTCTCTTGTTTGATGTCTTTTTGCTGATAAAATCTTTGAAATCAGCATTGCTATTAATAGTCTTTTGTTATTCACGTTGGTATGAACATTTTCTTTGGGCTTTGTTAAAAACATTTATTGTGCCGTCAAAAATTATATATGCAAATTTAATAAACCTTTTAATTCTCTACGCACTTTATCAACTCAGTCTACGCCATTCAGGTAGCCATCAAATACCGCTTGTAATTGATGATCTGACACATTCAATATTAGAAGAAACATACTAAATTTATGTATCAAAAAACCTTCTACAATAAAAATTATTGTTGATGATATATTGAACTTTGACATTGAAGCGCTTGAACAGTATTGATAGGTACTCTTTAGGGAGAGTGAATTTGGTTCCTTTCTATACACCATTGGCAACTTTCTTTACACCATTGGCAAATAAGGTCAATAAATAAGGGCCTAGGTTGTAGATCACAACTCTCAAGATGGTCATCCAACAGCTTAGCAATGGCAATTCTTTGGACAAGAGCTGTTAGACTGATAGGAATCAACTTGCTGTATATTATTCATTTGGGGTTTATCATCTCAGCAAGAAGTTGTACTCTGTTACTCTACATGGATTTGATAGTTGTGAAGTCATCACCAATAACTCTAATTATCTTACTACACACATCTCAATTTTCATGGCAGTTAATTACATTGTACAATGCTAGTGCTGATTGCAATACAATACTAGTGCTGATTGAAAAAATGTTAGGATTTGAGGTAAAGAGCAGTAGAAACCATTGATACATCTGGGCCCCATTCTTTGTATTCCCGTTAAACACTTGAGTACTTCAACTCAACATGCTGTTCTGAAGACTGAAACATAACACAAAAATTTTCGATCTGTTCATGAACATGTTGAACAGTCATCATTCACTTTGTCCCTTCCTTCACATCAGAGGAAAATCCAATATCTACCTCTTATTTGGAGGAATAGAATTGTTGCGTACCGGAAGTTCAAAAGTTAAAACCGATAGAAAAGAACATACGCAACACCTAATTTGGTGGCACTCTCATGACTAAACATTTGATTGGAGAAACATTAAAACATGAGAAACTGTTAAAACATGACACATAGATCAATTCTCTCTCTTTCATTTCAAGTCAATTGTTACAAAAATGGACAATTTTGTTGATTCATTGATGATTTCAAGTGTGTCAACTGCTATGGTCATTGGTCCTGTAACAGTAATGCATGCTTTATATAGCGGGAGATGGCGGTAATCTTCCCCCAATGGATGGTAAGATCCAGTGCCGACCTACTTGACTGCGAGCAGGGTTTTCTCCCCAACCACATATCTCCCACCAGAGGGGCACCACTCCAGCCAGGACAAGCTCCAAGTTCTGGGATGTGTATTGGTATAGTGTGTGTAAGTGTAAGTAAGAGGTAAGGATAGGACAAAGAAGAGGAACGGAAGATCGCAAGTGGTTTGCCCATTTGTTAGGGTACTGTTCCAGCAATTGCATGGTGTTGATCAGGGAAAAAAAAAAAAAAATCAGACCAGCCAACCCGTAAAATTCTCTTACAGATAGAGGCCAAATTCATCCTAGCTATGCAACCAGTGTCAAAAATCCTGCCACTGTCAGGACTCTAACCCTAGGATCAGAGGCACTGCAGTAACATAAAATTTCTTTTAGTTATTTTGAGATTAAGTGGGATAATTCCCACTATTACAAGTATTTTGCTGGTAACAAAAAAATGTTACAGTGCTTTTGTTGCTTAACTTTTAGTTGAAGAAAAAAACCCTCAAAGACACTATTTAACATCTTTGAAGGTTTTTTTTTTTCCAACCAAATATAGGTAATTTTATCGTATTTTTTCCACAGAAGCCATCATTTAAAAAAAACAACTAAAATATGTTGGTTTTTGACACAATTTGTTTTCTTGATAAATACATTTCCAAGCAAAATTCTTAAAGGCAAACCTGATATTCGTGCTTAGAGACCTCAAAACACTTAGAAACCAAATATCTAAACTACACCAAAAATTTCTGCTATTTAGTCTTTTCGAGCACCATTTGACTGCACTTAGAAGAGAATTTACTTCTACATGGAGAAAATCAATGAATAGATCTCTACTGCTAATCATGCATTAAGAAATTATTTTCTCTTACCTCATACTCTCTGCTGGTTAGGAATTTGATGAGAACATGCTTAAGATATTTGAAGTTAATATCATCTGATTCTTCACCCTTTGGAAGATGATTAGTAGAAATAGCTTGCAAATTTGGGCTTCGTGCACTTCGAGTTACATTATTGCTAGACAGAGATGCAGATCCAGAATTGGATCCCAGAAAATTTGAAAAACCATCAGACATATCTGAAGGTGGACCAGAATCAGAGGAACCACCTGGTCCACGAAGTTCACGTTGAAGAGTTTTTTTCATGTCTGCCAAACGTTGTTGAAGAACCTTTATACTCTATAATGAGAAAAAAATCTAGTTAATATGAGAGACCTAAACATAACTTTCAAATATTTTAATGAATTTAAAATGTTTGATCACATGTGGCAACAAAATAACACATATGCATTAATAAGATAATTAAATTAGAAAATCTCATGAGAACTATACTTAGACAGGCAAAATCACACAGGTGATTTTTTTGGTTTGCTTTACACTGTTAGGCAAATGAGCAAACCTTATGATACCATTTTGCATATTCAGAAGCAAATCAATCAAATAATTAAAACTTTAGACTCGGTTTCCTTTTATTTTACTCAGCATTCTTCACTTCTGATTCTCGCATGTCTTATGTTATTAAAAATTACCTCTTTAAGAGTAAATTGTATACTCTTCAATGTCAAGAATTTTAAAACTTTTTCTTCTTCTTCTTATGAATATCTATATTGCTAAATCAGTTCCTTTTTTAATTAAAGTCATTCAGTTTTTTTTGTATATTCAAAGGCTACCAGTCGGTTACAATTTATGATTCTAAAATTATTGATGGTGACTAGATAACTGATTCTTCAGCTGAATACTTCAAACCCTTTCATAAGATTTCTACAAACCACAATCAATACATATCTCGAAATTTCAACATACAATGCCTCCTTAATAGAATTATTAATTAAGGAGATCTTAAACTGATTTTAGTTGGACTCAGTTGATTTTATCCCTCACTCTCATCCTGTTTTTTTCTTCTTCCCCCTTCCCTCCCTTGAAATTTAAACTATACTTGGATTTAAACAGAAGGTTAGTTGACGTACAGTGTACGCTGTTACAGTGATATCTAATAGGGAGTCACGTGATCATCAAATAGGTGTCATGGAGTCATTGAAAAATCTATGGTGAACCTCACCATAGTGACATGTAAGATCCCTATTGGATGACCCTGTAACAGCTGATGATCTGTCAAATGAAGCTCTAAATAAATCAAAGAATACATTTACTTGTAACTGACTCCAGTTGTCTCAAATTTAGTATGTTTAACAGATAGAAACGAATTGAATATGTGCACTTCTCACAGCTATTCAAGTTACTGTGTATATTGTAAATATTTTTATTCTAGTTTTAAAATTGTTACATTTCAACTTTATTACTAATAAGGTAAACTTCTGTCTACTTATACTAAAATATAATAATCATAATACAAAGTTTCTAATTTTTAATGACTTTTGATGTGTAGTTAAAAGTAAGATTTCTGTATATCATCCAATATTTTAAATTAAATCTCATATTTCTCTTTGAACTCTATATAGACTTCAATAGTGCCGTATTTGGTGCACATTTATTTCTAGTAAAAAATAAATAAGGATAACACATTAAGATATTACAACAGCATTCATAACAAATTATCTGAGATACAAATAATGTATCCAGTTCGGTTATGATAGAAATATATACATGTATACATTCAAGTTGTTAAATTGAAAACTCTTAAACATTTTAATGTGCTTTACATCACTAGGAATGACATATTTTGTATGCAAATAGTACTGAAACCACACTCACTTTGTTTTTTTCTGCCAGCTGTTCCTCAAGGTCACAGATGTTCTTTCTGAGATCTCGCTCCAAATCTACTGCAGCCTGCTTGTTATGTTCTACCAATTCCAGTTCCTGAACTCTTCTAGACAAATTTTCATTCAATGATTTCCATCTCTCTGATTCCTGCAAAATATTTAGAGCTTTTAATAGCCAATTCTAATGCCATGTTAATAATATAATAATAATAATAACAACAACAAAATAATTTCATCAAAAATCATGAAGTTAGGTAGAGCCGGAGGAGGTAATAGATTTAAACTAAAATTATCAAATCTCTTATTATTTACTATACTCTCAATTTCAAGGTCAAAATTTTAAACAATGTACAAATCCCAATTTCGATGCTGAAATATTTAAAAATTTCAATCAATACACATTGTATTTTGTAGTTTTTTAATAAAATTTTGAAAGAATTTTTTATTTTAACATTATTTTTAACTTTAATTGTTCATCATTTCATTAAATTTAATTTTAACATTAATTTTTCAATTTAACATTATTTAATAATAAAATGTAATTATATATGTAATAAGTAAGAAAGGATAACATTTACAAGTACATTGAAAAAGACTAGAAATGAAATTTTTTAATGTTGCTATCGAATTGCCGAATATAAAATTGAAATGCATCAATCAACCACATTCCATGTTATAAATATTATCCAATGATGCACAACACATCACTCTGTTTTGCCAATGTTTTTTATACAGTTTAATCATACATAACTTTTTTTTTTGAAACATTTAATATTAAACATTTTGTTAAGAACTGTCGGTGGCCATGAACACTGGGAGCCCAGAGCCAAGCCCTCCAGGCAATTATGTTCAACACTACACTGTGTTTCCTCACTGATGAGTGGGGGCTGAAGTACGTTTAACCAGATTACACATCTTCTAGTGACTTGAAAGTTATAAATCATGTACCCAATATCAAAAGGAAATTGGTACACACTGATTGGTATCACTGAATCCCCATAAAATATTTTTCCTACCTTATTTTTCTCAGATAATTGGTTTTCAAGACTGGTAACTCGATTTAAAAGCTCTGCCTGATCTCTTTGTTGTTCACGTGCTGCTTGCTGTGCCAATTGCACCTCTTGACTAACTTGTGCATTTCGCAAAAGGATAGCATCTTTGTCTTGACGTTCATGACTAAGTGATTTTTGCAATTCTATACAACGTGCTTGTTCTCCACGCAATTCCACTTGTACTTGTCGCAGTTCTTCATCAAGTTGAGAAGATTTGGTCTGCTCACCTGAGAATATTTAATCATTTGAATCACAAGAAAGGAATCTCATAAAAGAAAAGATTATATGAAAGCTGAAAAAAACATTCTTACTTTGTAAGGAATTACTAATAACTTTATGTTCTTCACTAATTTCTTTAAGTCTTTTTTCTGCTTCTTCAAGACGATTCAGTAAATCTGTTCTTTCATTATTTGAAGCTTCCTGCAAAACAAATCAAAACACAATGATAATATTAAAATCCCCCATAAAAGAGGAAAAAATTGTGTGATTTTATGAAATTTTTAACATACATTTAAATAGATATAAAATTAATTTATAATTAAAACCAAATAAATTAAAAAAACAAAACGAAAATGCTTACTACTTGAAAGAGCAACCATTCACTCAAACACATTTCCACCTTCAGCCCAGGTCAAAGATGCAGGGAAAAGTAGAAAGGATGAGAAGATAATTACCAATGTTGCTATGACTCATGCATATATACTATGTACACAAAGTAAGAAGTCATATAGACGGGTTCAGCAATGAAAAGGTGAAATGGAAATGAAAGTTAAAAAAAGAAATGATGCTCTATCAACAAAAGATTTTATTCAAAAAAACTTTGATAAAGGTTAATTAGAATACAAAAAAATGTTTGAAAACCCAAACAAAAAATGTGATGTCTAATAAACACACCTTAAACCATCAAAACACAACAATAAAATGTAATACATTGATGCAACAAAAACTGGAATACTTTTATAAGAAACAATGAACTCTAATAAGAAGTTCAATATTTTTATTATTATTATTATTATTTTTTTTTGCGCACGGCCACTCAAAGTGACAAATCAGTGATTGAGTTTTCACTGCATGAACTCCCTTTAGGGCACGCCTGCACAACTCCAACAAAGGGAATACAATTCTACATGTCCCTTTATCCTAAAAACAGTTTGAAGAACCCTACAGAAAAAAGGTTAAAATCATTGCAATTCATAGATTGGAAATGAAAGGAGGTAATGTAAACAACATTACAATTTTTTATTACGGTCATGGAATGCTTTAAGATTCTTTAGGTCAAGGAGACTCTTGAGAAAATTCATTAAAAATTGACCTCAAAAGATTGTGATCTCATAGATCTTCAGAAATAACTGTTTGCTTTCCTCACTAAATTTTCCAGAATCACTAAAACCACTTAGATACTCATACATGCAAGTACTCTAGTAAGGTGTGACATCACTCCACTTCATATCTTGCATAGTATCTCCAACTAGTGAAAAAAAATACTGTTAAAATAATACAGAAACATCATGACTAGAAGAACATTAGCTGAATTTGAGTTGTTTTTACATAACTATGTTCGGTTAACAAAGACCATTTCTCTTTCTGAAAAATATTCATGTTTAGCTGTGTATAAAAAGACAAGGGATCTTCAGATAAAATTCAGTGCACTCAATACATTACATTTCTTTATACTGACATTACTGAGTCCAACACTTCCATATACATTATTGACCATTAAAAATGGTATATATTGAAGTTGACTCCAATGGATGATAATAGAATTAATAGTTCAGAGAATAATTTGTTAATGCTAGAAAACCCTGTGTCTCCAGCCTGTCTGTAGTAGGGTATCCTGTATTTTCTGACATTTTTGAATGCATATCTGCTAAATACTTTCGAACTACGGTAATACTTTCGAAATCTTGGTAATAGAATTATTGTTACTTGTGCCGTCTACAGTTGAATATCCAAGATGGAACATGAAACGTTAAGGGCATTAGACATATGCCTGCTGGTATTTCTCATCATCTGCTACCACTCTGATGACTCTTCGAGAAGTATTATAGTTTGATCACAACACTTGATTTTATATGTGTCATTACTATTCAAATGTTCAATTAGGCTGCGCGAATTATGGCCAAAAACGTGTAATACTTCGGAGACGAAATACTTCCAACAAATGAATATAGGCCTAAAGTGTCGTAGACATGAATTTGCTGTTAAGTAATTCGAGAGTGATAGTCCAGAAATGATATGGGAAAAGGTGAAAAATACAACAAATCTTATCCAATGTAAGCATTCTAGAGGGTATGCACAAAAATTTAGTCCAAAAAATGTTTTGGGTTCACATACTGGACACCTTAGACTTCAGCTACGCTCTTGTGCAAGTTTGTACAATTTGGAAGTTTAATGCTCATTCAGAGATTGCTAGAAGAAATACACGTGTTTGAAATTGACAATTAGTGCCACTGCTGTTGTGCAGGCTAGCTCGCAGAGGGATGTACTGTTAAGTTCTGAGTTCTCTATGCCAATGACAATGATTTCACTCAGAATGCTGCACAGAAGAGATGTGACATTGATGTTTTATATTCTTATAAAAAAATGCTAGAAGCCGTTATTTAACATTCATGATTAGATGCAGTTTATATTTTTTAAATAAATATGCACCCACAACACAATACAATACTTATTTTCAGATATTCGTAATTGAATATTCTTCAAGCAAAAGAGATGTGTGAAAAAATACAATAGTTTTACATAAATAAAGAAAACTATAATATTGTATTTTTGAAATACTGAATCCAAAAATTGTTTTGTTAATTGTTTTATCACTCCGATAATTGTTTAGTTGCCAAAAGTTTTGTTAATTGTTTGGATTCATTTTTGTCTTTGTTTTGTCTGTTAAATCTCAATTAAAAAGTATAAACGCCACAATTTTGAACATTAAATACCTTCCCCCCTGAACTTAAATGATTACAAATTCGATTTTTATAACAGCGGAGTTTAATAACATCGATGGTTTGGGGACGATTATTTATTCACATTGATGTTTTAAATTTGACGTATCAATATTTTGTTGGTGATGTCACATCCCTACTACACAGTGGAGAAAAGAGGGTAGGATGGGGATAATGAAAAGTGTTGGGAAAAAGATGTGGCAAAATTGAGTATTTCAATCAACATCAGAAAATAAAAAACTTCGGCCGCCAGATTTACAAATCAGTGATCATAATAATACATTCCATTAGGTAATAGTGCTTGTTTGAAAAAGAGAAAGGCCAACTAAAGGCTCGCCTGTATTTACTATGGCTTATCTCTTCCAGTATGAGCAATATCAGACAAACATTTCCTTTAGCCCACAGATCCTCAATCTTATATGCCCAATTATCATTTTCTTTTCCAAACAAGTGAAACTAATCACCCCTCCCTGAAATGAACAAAAACTGTAAATTATTTTTTAAAAACATGTATCGACATTCCCACATGAAAGAACCGAAGCTGCCAGTAACTGATTGAATGACAACTTAATTATTTCATACTTGGAAGTTAAAAATTAATGTGACCGATTTTCTGAAACCAAAGAAGTGAAAATGTTACACTTTGCATGACACGACATACGACAAGACTTTTTCAAAATCGTCCATTTTTAAACCGACTACTGCCCTCTCCCCAAGAAGCATCCCATCGCCTGAGGCGCTAGGGTGCTGCTTTCCCCTTTGCCAGGACGGAGAACTCGGAACCGCACGGTAGGGGGCGGATTGAACCAGGGAATAACCGGGCCGTGAGGGGGGGGGGTCGCGTCAACTCACGATTCGCTCGCCCAGGTCAACGATTTCCTGGCCGGTGGCGAGCTGCAGCTCTTGGAGGTCGGCGGCGAGCGCGTCGGCGCGCGCGCGGGCGTCGGCCAGCTGCTCGTCCTGGCGGCGCGCCGCGCTCTTGGCGCGCTCCAGCAGCACCTCGAGCGCGCGCGTGCGCTCCAGCAGCGCGTCGCGCTCGCTCTCGGCGCGCCGCCGCTCCGCACCCTCCTCGCCGGCCTGCCGGCACAGCCGCCCCACCTGCGTCTCGAGCGAGGCGATCTTGTCGCTCCACGAGCTCTTGATGTCGGCCAGGTGCAGGTGCGCCTCCTCGAGGCGGCGCTCGAGCAGCGCGCGCTCGCCCAGCAGCGCCGCCACGCGCTCGTCCGCGCTCAGCGGCGCGCCCAGCGCCGCGCACTCGGCCGACGCCCGCCGCTCCAGCACGGCCACGCGGTCGCGCAGGTGGCGCGCCTCCTCCTCGGCCTGCGCCAGCGCGCTGCCCAGGCGCGCGCGCTCGCGCTCGCCCGCGTGCCGCACCGACGCCAGCTCGTCCTGCGCAACGCACCGCACCGCACATGCAGTTGCAAATTTACAATCACCGCGAGCGACGGTGGCCACATTAGGTTATTCCTACTTTGTTATCGCAACTAGTACGATCACTATTTCTACCTCACAGTCTACAGGTATAAAACGAGAAAAATTTCGGCTCCCTACTCGATAGTAGAGGCCAACAGGTATAGTGCTGTAATCATAACTTGTTAAATCTCTACTTCTAAATAATTAAAATATACACGGTTAATTTTTTTATTTAATGTTAATAATTTTAACTTAATGAAATCGTATTAAATGTCTTCGATAAAAGATGTGAAATAAAATTCTGAAATTTTCAAAAAAAAAAAAAAATAAATAAAATAAAATTGGAAATTGTAGATACTACACCTGAAGTGAAAATAACAAATTCGGGGCCAAATCATAAAGAAACTTCGCAATCTATCCTGAAAAGTGACCAACAGAGACCCCTTATCAACATTGAAACCTCTAAAGATTTGTCAAAAAATCCAAAATTTGCCGAACAACAGCTAACAATGTGGAAAGATGTGCGAAACTATCGCGAAAAATTCCGCCAGGTCGGAATCGATCGTTCCCACAATCAATCAAACATTTCAAAAATGAGCAGAAATCTTTGGACAAGTAAAAGGCCAAGTGCAAATAAAGTTTAATGGGCAATGAGGCCAGGTATAGAAGCTCCCTCCTCTCGTTTTAGGCTGCGCACGCCCATGGTCGTCGCACCCACTACGACTCTTTCCCCGACCCCATCTTTCATACGCTTTAGCAGGCTAATACCGCACAAATAAGACACAGACAGTTTTCCATCTATTGTGTGAAATGTTCGGGACGGAAAAAAACTACGGCGGGAAGGCCAGAATGGAAATCTGAAAAATGACGAAATTTAATTTTTCTTGGTCTCGATTGATTGAGTGATTCGGGCACGTCAACTACTAGAGCCATAGTCCCCTAAGTGAAGTGCATGTTTTCGCTCGGGAGGGGACGGTGGTTTCCTTCGCTGCATGGCGAAATCCGGCGCCGGCCTACAGTCGGCTAGAGGAGTTTTCCTTAACCAGGTATCTCCCACCAGCGGGGTACCACCCCAGCCGGGACAAGCTCCAATCTCCCGAACGGTCTCCCAACATGTTCGGCAGCGTAGTGCATGTTGGTGTAAGTGTGAGGATAGAACAAGGAAGAGGTAGGAAAGATCGCGCGAGCGGTCCGCGGCCCGTTTGTTAGGATACCGCTCCAGCATTCGCCGGTATTGATCGGAGAAACCACGGAAATCTACCGACCAGAGCAGCCGGGCGCTAGAATTCTCCTCCAGACAGCGGCTAACTCGGTATCTACCAAGTGACGTAAATCCTGCCACCGGCGCACTCGAACTCTAAGAGCTCCCAGATGGACTGCAGTGTCTTGGTCCCAAGCATAAAATTGGTTCAAAACTGCGGAGCACGCTCTTATTCCTCCTTTGTAGGACTGGCAGGGAAAATCACAGATGCCAAGGTTCCACCTGAAATTTTACTTGGCGTAATTCAAATTCACTGACGTCGAATTTTCTTCGTGCAGCTGCTTTCAACAATTTGATGTGTCGAAAATTAAATGTTCTTTTTTCGCCTTCAGCTTCGCGATATCTTGTTTCTCTTGTATTTCTTCTACCGAGAGTCTTCGGCTAGAGAGCAATTTGTAATTCCGTGTCATTGTGCAAAGCTGATACGAGATGATAGGTATTTACTTATCAAATACATGAGAGGGGGAAATTTCGTAAAAATAATTAAAAGGTTTGAATTGCTGCTCTTATTAAATATTAAACATGTCTCAAGACAACCCACAGCCACTAAAATCTACATGAAGCTCCAGATTTGTAAATAAACAGTATAATTTCTCCGTGAATACTAACTTCAGAATTGACAGCGTCGGGTAGTGTCGTTGGGAACTGAAACCAATCGCATGTGTTGAAGGATGGGAGGGTTGCAGTGGCAAAATAGATTCGGAGTAGCAAATACAATAACTCACATTAGAACGCAGTGACACACATGAATCCAAGCAAGGATTAAATTCTTTTAATTTAGAATTCTTCAAAAAACTTGCTACTCACATCTGTCAGTGACTCATTGGCAGTCTCGTGCTTGTTGCTAAGCGAACAGCAGCGAGTATTGTTTCTTTTTCTTCTGATGTCGCAAGGGTTCAACATTATAGTAATGAGTGGCAGTTCCAAAAATATGAGTTCTGTAGTAAATACTATTAGACCGACGTTAATAGTTTTCACACTTCAAATGAACCCACGTAAATAGACACTTCCATTTGAAAACAATGGCGCGGCAACACAGCCCCGATTTTTTTTTCCTCGTATAATTTGTAAGTTTCACGGTGTTTCTAACTTAGGAAAGTTCCTCAGTGACTTAATACTATTTGCGAAGCTCAGCAACACTACCCACAAGCAAGTTAATCTACAGATTCACCTGTTAGTAGTTTCATTAAATAGATGTTCCAATATTTTACTCAATCACCTAATGATCTCATTTAATTAAATTAAATGGGTGCAACAAATACCCTTTTGTACGTTTCACTCCGCATCTTCACGTGCTCACTCGAAATAATGATACAGATTAGAAAATTAGCGCCTCGCAACACTTGGGCCACGAAAGTTGCAGAATTACTTGTAGAACAATTGAGGAAATGCTAAAGATTCGAACAGAAGTGTAAACTTTGAAATTTAATTTCTTTTGCTGAAAAGGGGCCTATATTTTATAGTCTGTATTGCTCTCTATCGGTAGGAAAGTTTGAAAAAGGAGCAGCATTTGTGAAAATGTTAATACGTTTCGCATAGATATTTTAAAGAATTTAACAATTTTGATTAAAAAATATGCTGAATATTCAAGTAAATTAAAAATCGTCTACCAGATTATTTAAATAATATTGAAGGTTTAAAAAAATACATTTTTTCGATATTAAGAGCTCCCATTCCGTTCAGCCTCATATCTCGAGCCGTCTCGAGGTCTGGTTTTTGTAAAATAAATTAACGTGAAAAGAGACTTCATAGTATCTCGTCAGCTCACTATCGTAATATACTACTTATTTAGGCAACAAGTATCATCTTTATTTTTTTGAAATGATAAAAGCTTATGATTGAAATACGAGTTAATAATACATTGTCAATGAATATGGACGTGAGCAGTATTAAGACATTAATGCAGCCTCTAATTCACACCGAAAACTGCTCATTTGTCTTGAGTTACAAACGCACGATTGATCTATCCAACCAATAAAATTAGTTGACATGCAAGGAAAAGTAAAAATACTTTACCGACATTTAATCCACAAAATCAATATTTAATATCCACAATGTTTGAAAAAATATTATTTGAAATTAAATGTAATAGAACAAGATAATGGACAGGAAACCTGTCGACACAATTGCTCGAAAAACAAGAATCGAATTGGAGATCCCTGCCAAAATTCGCACGTTGCGGACATATGTCAATTGCAACCGTCATCAAAATACTTAAATTCTGTTGTAGATCTAGAGGAATAGTAACTGAAAATTTGATAATTTTATCATTCAACTAAAGTTTGATACTCAGACGATTATTTATTAAAAGGAAAACGGATATTTTCTTTGAACTCGTTAGACAAAGAAAGCAGAAGCATTCGCAGTAACGTCACAATTATCATAGTACATGTTTAGATTTTTTAACAAAAAAAACGGTAAAAACTGTATGTGACGTAAAGGGGAGAAGTTCATATGCGCACGTTTTCCAGAATCCCTAAATAAATAAAAATAATTTAAAAAAAGCGCGATATAAGCAATATTTGAAAAAAATTAACAATTTTGTTCCCAAGTTATTGAAAACTTATTTGCATCGGTAAACGAATTGCAAGTATGATTTTTCTAATAACAAAATAGTAACTTGCCCTTACCTCTACTCCTATCATTACAAGCAAAGGAGAGTTCAGCAAAACGTGCGCATAGTGAAACTACATTTACTTACTGTTAGGGTAGGGGCGGATCCAGAGACAAATTTGGGGAGGGAAAATTAAAAATGTTTTGGTCGAAGAAGCCATTACAGATTTTGTAAAATGTCGCAGGTTTCACTCAGCTCAAGCTGCGATACGATTATATTCGTTTTAATGATCACCCGAAAATATTTGTGCTTGAAAGTTTTGTGACAAGTTGAAATTAAAAGTTACAGAACAAAATTAGCGAGGGGAGGGGATTTCCCTAATTTCCCTTCCCGTGGATCCACGCCCGGCTAGAGAACTTGCAAAAACGAAAAGTCACAACAAAATTCACGACTAATAACATGATTTATCAACAAACCTGATATTTGAAAAAACTCATTGAAACATTGCATAATTTTTCTATGAAATGCTCATGTATAACCCTGTATATAATTAACACTTCTATGATTACTGACCCATAGGATATTTATGCAAAATATTTTCTTTGAAACTTAAAGAAATAGCAATTTCTATTTATACCCCAAACTGAATATTTTTATGCATTAACTACCCATCAAGTTTTAATTATGCATACTTCACATTCTCTTCCTACTCACACGAGTTCTGTAAATCCTTCGCTGAAGTCAGCCCTGCAGATTCAAACAGACACTGACACATACTTCACAGCAGTTTATCTCTTCTCCCCCAGTACATTCATCCTGGTCAGAGGTCAAAGACAGCTCTGGCTCCTGTTCTTTAAGCCTTCTTAGAGTAGTAAGTTGTTTGTAGAGGTGAATGTTGTGAAAGAGGAAAGCAGTCCGAAAGCAAAGAAATTTCTCAACACAATTTAACACTGATTTTTTCTTACCAACAAAATGGTACTACAGAAAGAC